TAGTCACTAGCATTGGGTACAACCCGTTGCCAGCAATGTGGAAGTCGAAGGATACCTTTAGTAGCGCCTGTTGTATTGATTGTTCGAATGGAGCAGTCTACTGCCCGAAGAATCTCTGAGATAGTTCTGAAGCGAATGCCATGAAGTGGTTCCTTCATATTAGGAATCAAATCGAAATCACAAGGGCTTAAGTCCAGGGAGCATGGTGGATGGTACAGCACTTCCCAGCCCCATCAATTGAACAAATCAGCCATAGCTTGCCATTTCTGCATTTCAATCAATTCATGCGGAACCCATCGTGATGCAATTTTTCTCATGCCCAGGCGTTCCTTCAGAATGTGAAGCACAGTCATATGCGTTAATCCTGTCTCTCGGGCCAGCTCACGAATTGTATGGTGTCGATCACTCTCCAGTAATGCGGAAAGAGCATACACTTCACTGACACTAGGACGATCTGGCCGACGCACGTCTGCCACATTTTGGCGTCCCTTGTTGAAGACTTCTACCCACTTTGCCACTGTTCTGTAAGGCAATGCAGATTCCCAACAAGCCTCTTGAAGACCTTGATGAAACTGTCGTGCTGTACAGCCTCTGGCACATTCAATCTTTATCGAACTCCATTGTTCCTGTTTCAAAAACATCGTGACAACACTACATTAGACCACCAGCTAGCATGAGGCTCTGTTCTTCTTGTCACTGCGCATGCGCATGTGGTAAGGGTGAGTCCATTTGTTCGGAGGTAAGGTAGGTATGTAACTAACGTGTGGTATAAGCAACATTATTTGTTTCCGTTGGATGGCGTCTCTACAGCAGTGTTGCCACTATTACAGTTCTGACCCTTGTATTTTCACCATTCAGGTTACCACAGCTACTTACTTTTCTCTAACTACAGAGCAGTAAAAAAAAAGAGCAGTACTAATGTCTATTATTTTTCTTGTAAAGCTTGGGTGAAGCCCAATCAGAAGAAAGCTATGCAACAAGGTGGTGAGAACCAGGTAGTCATCTGCTCTTGGAAAATTCAAGTTGGGTTTTGTAGTACACAGTCAGAATCACAAGTGTTCCTAAGTGACCTCTGATATCAGATAAAGGTTGGGCCATCCCTCTGTCTTTGCCCTCCATGTTGCTGTCATTCTATAAATTAATAATAATATTGCCCATGACTTTGACCCTTACATTTTCCATTGTAAAATTCCCATCCTGTATCTTCTCCACATACTTAACACAGAACTCCCACTGTTCTTTTGGGATGTTGTTAAGGGCAACACTTTTTCAGCAACTTCACATTTAACCTGGGCCCAAATAACTCTGTTGAATTGCAAGTGTAAATGAAATAAATGAACAACTGAAATGAATTATTGTGCCCTCTGGAGCTTGCAATCTCATCAAGTTCATAATATTTGTTCACTGATTTGACCATACACACAAAAATCAGTCCATTCCTGGTATGATTTGAATCACATTGTTCTTTTGTAGCCCATTAATAATTTCACATTTTCTTAAGTTTGTTACTGAACACTTATTAAGCATGGCATGACCACATACCCTCTCAATTACAAATCACCACATTTTTTCAAATGGTTTTGAGCAGGGTATCTACAAATTTCATGAACTACGTATTGAATACTCCAACATTCATGTCTACATGCCAATGTGTCTGCTGATATTTTCTTGGCCTGAATAATAATGTACAGTTCTCAATGAATCTCATTTTTAGAGAGTACATGTGCAAAGCAATTATCACCCTCCTTCGACAACAGGTACCTCTACATCACAGTTTCCTTCAGAATGTTTCCAGCATTTAGGCAAAGTTTGGCTTCGGTTAATCCACTTCTTGTCGAAATACAGAAAAAGTGCTACTTCATTCCGCACCCCCTTCATTATCCAAAGGAACATTTTTCAAGCGGCAACAATCTCACTCCAGTCAAAGAGTACTGTCTATTAATCTTTCAGTATCTTATACTGGGAACAAACTAGGGTAGAATATTCTCCTCTGTCATAACATGATATCATATTTCTCCTCAAAACGATTTTTATCAAATGTAATGTCATACTATTCCTTCATTTGATGTCTTATGAGGAGAGAAAATCTTAATTCTTCTGTTTCCCTATTTAGCAATACTTTGCATCATATTTCTGCCTATACCACATGCTTCTGCGTACTTTAGAGGGATTACAGGTGACACCGATCACTTAAAACATACTTTTGTAGTATTGGCTTGGTCAGAATGGTGCTGTCCCTACTACCTATTTCTGCCTCCTAATGGATGCCTTTTATGTTAACTTATTGATAAGGTGTAATTATTTAGGCTGCGGATAATGCAAGTTGTCCTTACAGAACTAACAAAGGTAGGTATGTAGCCAGTGCTTGAGGTGGAATGAAAATAGATCCGGGATGCCATCCCGTCGCATCCTGCCCCACCTCAGGCCCTGGGTATTGTACATTGCATTTACTGCCAAAGAAGTAACGGGATGCTTTTAAGCCATTTAGAAAAGAACCGGGATGCCATTCCGCCGCATCCCGCCCCACCTCAAGCCCTGTATGTAGCTACAAAAACCATCTCAGTCAGTTAGCATGAGACTCACGGTAACGATGCCAGAATTCGCCAATTCACGAGTTGATCCATCTTGACATTATCCACTTACATTGTTCTGAAAACCACACTCTTTAATTTATTGTATGTAAATGTTTATACAGTGGAACCTCGCTTAACGAGCATTATTCGTTCCAAAATCTTACTCGTAATGCGAAACACTCGTTAAACGAAACAATTTTTACCATATAAATTAATGCAAAATATGATAATGTGTTCCATGTGGAAAAAAATACTCAAAAAATTTTATGTATAATGTTTATTCAAAGAAAATTATGTATACATTGTTAAGGAGCGTGAATCATCTTCATCTTTTCTTCTGTGCAGAATGAACCAACCTGGAATGCGAATTCAATTTGCAGAAAACAAAAAAAATCAAAATAATTAGTTTATTATTTATGATACATATCTAATTCTTTTTTACTAAAAAGCTTTCTAGAGACATTTGTTTTTGCCGACACTTCAAAATTTGGTGAAAATGCGACACAGCATTATCATTATATAAATTTGTAGCGTGCATAGCCACTGCCTTATTAGGGTGATGCTTCTCAATGTATGATACAACAGTTTCCCATGCTTTCAGCATTTCTCTTATTGCGCCAGAAGATTGTTGCTTTGCTCTTATCTCCTTCTCCTCCTCTGACAAACTCTCCTCCACAACTTCTTGCTGTGAAACACAATGCAACTCCAAATAGTGCAAATTGTTGATGTAGACCGATTGTATGTATGTGCTAGATCAGCCACGCTCACACCTCGTTCTCGCTTTTCAATGATTTTACGTTTCATTTCTACGGTTATTTTTATTCTCTTATGGCTGTCTTTTTGCGGCTTTTTCTTCGGGGACATTTTTGCAAGGGTTAATAAACTTTGCACAAAAAGAATCACAAATAATATGTCTGAACAAAAGTTTGGAAAAATGTGTGATCACAAGCGACACTAAGATGCTAGCGAAACAAGTGCTAAACACAGACTGACGTAGCAAGCGCACAATCTGGGACTTCCCTCTCGTCACTCGTTATGCGAAACGTCGCTCATTAAGCGAGTCTTTTTTTATAATCTGTTTTGCTCATGATACGAATTACTCGTTATGAGAGGTGCTCGTTAAGCGAGGTTCCACTGTACTTACAATTTCTCATTTGAACCGATAATCCACTTCACCAGATCTATTTAGTGAACTAGACTTTGGAGTGTGCAGATATCATGTCCATACGCTTCAGCAAATCAAGAAAGTGTGAGAAGCATGAAGAGGGCTTCCACATTCCCACACTGGGAATTCAAAACTTCACACAAGACAACTACTACACAATGGCCCCTGAGTAGCTCCCATTTACAAGCAAATATAATGAGTTTTTGGGCTGGCTTCTTCACTGACTCTTGTAGGCATTTCTGGTTTTCTGTACCTGGGCTAAAATTAATGACTGCCCATATGCGTCAGAATTCCAGACTTCTTGGTGATGCCAGAATCCAGAAATTTCTACATAAACACCATATTACACATTGAAGACAATGGAATACGGTATTATAGATTTACGATAAAGTTGAATTAATATCAAAATATAACATTTTGAATTTAAAGTACTGACAAACAATTATAAATAAAGTTCTCAGTTATTTAAAATCAGTCAACTGAAAATGGCCAGGAATGATCACAGTCACAGGTTATCTGATTTTAGCTTGCCATTTAAAAACTGCTGTACACTGTAAACATGTAGTTCTCCTACAACATTTATGTACTGCCCATTCAACACTTTTCAACCCACTTATTTCCCTCAGTTGGTTAGTAAACCATGAGAATACTGGACTGCACTGCTTAGGACAGGAATGTTTCATACCATTACCAAGTGACAACTGAAAGCATCAGCCAAAGACTGACCCTAACACCCGCTTGTGATTGACTGTTGTATATTCCAGCAAAGGTGAAGCTTTATAAGGATGAGATTATAGATGAACTGTATAAATTACAAATGTACATTATTTAAGTTCATCTTTCTTGGGTACAGATAATTTTCTTACTGCATTATTTTTAGATACCTGAAAGTTATGTTCTTTCAGGGTACCACTTCATGCATCATAATTTGAGAACAGATTTGACCTTTATTTTTGCAGCTGTTTAAACTCATAACAATCTGGGTAATGTTCAGGTTGCTACAATTATTGCTTATACATAGTTTTGTCACCTAAGAACACATACTTCCATAGCTTTCCATTTAAATAAATATCTGAGAAACACAAAAGTGCAAATTTGTCTTACAGAATCAATAAATAAATATTTCACATGTCTGGACAGCCTGTTATCATGAGAGAAATACACAAACGAGAGAAACAGGTTTGGTGACAGAATCAGAGGATGATGAACGGTGAGGATGGACAGAATGCCTGGGATCACTTTGTTCAATGACAGTCCACACACAACTGTTATATTACTTTTATTAAATTATAATATTTACAGTAGTTCTAAAAGCTACAACATAACATTAACTGAAGACAAATTATAACACAATTTCTTATCTACAGCTATGAATTAACGATCAATCTCACCGAAAACAACATCCAGTGTCCCTGCAAAAGCAAACATCTGGATCAGTAGAATATACACCCTGAAGAAAATGAAGAGAAACCAATACCCAATGCATGATACCAACTTTATTTTGAATGGTCAGCAGTTAGTCAGCTCCTGCTTTAGTTCCAACCAGTGGTCAAAATGTAATCTAGCAACTACAATTCCATCTTTCATGAAACTTTATTGGTTAAAGAGTTATTAGGAGGTGAAAAGCATGGAGATGGCACACAGTTTTGATGAAACATAAGCCTATCCTTCCTTATAAAATAAGAAGATGGGCTAAGAATTAAACAGCTAAGCTTATCGGTATGTTAGAAACAACTTACCAATAATAGCAACAATGTCAGCCAACATGTGATTCTTGCCAATTTTGTCAATGGCAGCAAGGTGGGCAAATCCAGGTGCCTTTATTTTGCACCTATATGGCTTGGAACTTCCATCTGACACAAGATATACACCAAATTCACCTGTTTCAGCAAAGGAAAAGGAATTCAATTAGCCAGCAAAGATCTTAAGTATGTTTCCATTATAACAAATATTAACCGTTCAGCGTGGTTTGACGTGTATGTTTCGTCAGGTATTTAAATCGTCTGGGGGGGTTCGACGTGTATGTTTCGTCCAGCTGCACACCTATGTTATAACGCCCATAATAATTGATGGTTTTGCTGTAGATTGTTAGATTTTTCGCTGGCCTGTTGTCAGGAGAACTGTATTTAATGACACACGAGTTTAAGAGCGCTAAGTAATCGTTACATATGCCTGTCTTGCAGCAAATTTCCTGTGGCTATTGCGAGCGTTCTACTGTTATTAATGGTGTGTTTTCTTTGCTTTGAAGTTATAAACAGCAGAGACGTGATATGTGCTGTGTTTATAATATCATATTGCCCTGAGCTGGCCACACTAACACACTCAATTGGAATTCTTAGAAGAGGGATGTCCAAAACTTTATTCTTGCATGATCGATTGATTTCGCACAGTATATAGCACCCAGTTCTTAGAAAAACGTCACGAATTAAGGCAGAACACTGTGGTCACCCCCTGAGACGATACGG